ACGTCCTACAGATAAGAATTAAGAATAGCTGAAAAGAATTGCTTATGTTTAAACATGTGGGGAAAAATTGAGGGTTTGATATTCTTCAACACTGCCTTGGCTTTGCTTTCACCAGATTCTCCTTCAATAACTATGCACTTCTTAGCTACAGAGGATGATGATTAAAGGATATTTACTATCACTTCCAACACTCACACTCACACAGTGTATCAGATTTCAGAAAATCACCTCACATATCCAATTACTGTATTTCTAACAGCCATACTTCACCCTTACCTGGAATATACATCAGACAGGAAAAGACAGGAAGCCTAAGGGTTTATGGTGACTTGATTGGTCATTAAAGGAAGCTTCCCCAAAAAACATATTAAATTGTCCCTTTGTTTGTCATCCAAGAGGGTTTTATACTCCCTGAAGGGACATACACCTTTGTGTGTGTGTGCGTGCACGTGTGTGTGTGTGTGTGTGTGTGTGTAAAGTGAGAAAAGAACTATCGTAAATGCAGAAATAGGAGACAGGACATAATGCTAGGAATGAGTACTTATAGAAATAGGGAATCTGTAAATTAATTTACCAAAAGGAATAAGTATCCACCTGCCCCTTGGACTATGCCACACAGTAAGAACCTGAAGATGATGTGAGTTTTAATTCTTGCTGTGTCTAATGGCAAGGAATATTTGCCATAGAGTATGATGAGTAATGAAACTGTGTACAACAGAGGCTTTCCATTTTGCCACCACCTAGAATAAGAAGTATATTTTACATTATGATCCAATACATATATATTGTTTCATGAAACAATAATTACCTGCATTACATGTGATGCACTCTGATATCGCCTATTCTAGTGTCTTTTAAGGCTGCTCACAACACACTAAATTGATTTCACAACCAACTAATGATTCATAGCCCACAATTTTATTTTTTTTAAGGATTTTGTTTATTTATTTGACTGACAGAGAGAGAGAAAGAGAGCATGAGCAGAGGGGGAGGAGCAGAGGGAGGGAGAACCAGGCTCCCTGCTGAGCAGCCCACAATTTTAAAACACTGAGCAATAGAAATAGAAATTTATAATGCAATCTCTGATTATACAACAATATCTAATTGTAAGAAATGTCCCTAAAGAAACCTTAATTTGAGGGATGCCTGGATGGCTCAGTTGGTTAAGCGTCTGCCTTTAGCTCAGGTCATGATCCCAGGGTCCTGGGATTGAGCCCTGGGTCAGGGTTCCCTGCTCAGTGGGGAGTCTGCTTGTCTCCCTCTCCCTCTGCCTCTACCTCTCCTTTCTCCCTCTCTCTTAAATAAATCTTAAAAAAAAAAAAAAAGAAGAAGAAGAAGAAGCCTTAACTTGAAAGTACAAGTGGGTAAACCAAAGCCTGCAAGTCAATGTCTAGAAGAGGTTAAATTTTGACCTTGAGATGGAGAGATTATTCTGAATTATCCAAGTGCACTCTAAATGCAATTACATGTATCCCTATCAGAGGGAGGCATTAGGAGTTCTGACACACATAGAGGAGACAGTGATGTGAAGAGGAGGCAGAGAGATATTTGAAGATGCTGGCCTTGAAGACTGGAGTGATGTGGTCAAAAGTCAATGAATGCCAGTAACCACCAGAAGTCAGGAGAGTCAAAGAACCGATTCTACCCTAGAGCTTCTGGATGGAGTGTGGCCCTGTCAACACTTTGATTTTGGCCCAGTGACACTGCCTTTGGATTTCTGGCCTCCAGAATCATGAGAGAATAAAGTTCTGATGTTTTAAGCCACCAAGTTTGTGGTATGTTGTTACAGCAGGCTCAGGAAATTAATAGGAACTCCATAAGCTTGACTTAATGAGAGTCATATTGCAAAGTACCCAGAGTGTTACCAAAACCCCAGTTTGGGTGCCTGTCGCTCGAAAAGCTAATATTCAAGAGATGAGTTTTAACTGGAAAGGAATATGAACTTTATTCAGGAGGCCGGCAACCTAGAGAAAGGCAGACTCTTGCCCAAAGGCCAACTCCAAGGTTTCTGCTAGCCCAAGGATTTTTAAAAGGGTTTAGGGCAGTTAATCAGTAAAGGGAGTGCAGTGGCCTGTAACATTTCTTGATTACTGTGCAGACTTAATGGTGCCAGCTACAGGCATTTTCACAGTGCTCAAAGATTGTGCAAGTGAGTCTGGTTCCTTACTGCAGGGCATTGGGGTTGGGGGGATGTGCAAGAGGGTCTGCTTTGTTTTGAGACATGCAGAAGGGCTCTATTCTTTTCTAGGAAAGAATGCATGATCTTAGATATACAAAAAAAGGTTTAGTTAATCCATCACATGGGCTATGGGTGGTTGCTAAAGTTTCAAGAATATTAGGTTGGTTGGAAGGACAAAGGCAGCTTCGAGAGTGGCCACTTATAACTCTTTATACTTTTGTATGTTTCAAGAGTTATGGTAGCTTATAGAGAGATTCACAAAACATATTGATAACACAAATCATAGGTGAAAAGGGAAAAATCAAAAATAGATATAAAAATGGAGCCAAAAACAAGGTTTATGCAAATACACATATAATACTTGTTGCCATGGGTCCACTGCAAATTTGGCTTTAAACTTTCTAACAGCCCAACATGCAAAGGGAGCCCCCTTGTTTACATGATTCAGTGGCTATTAGATAAACACAGCCAACTACACAAAAACACAAAAGACAAGGCAGAATTTCTACCCAGAATGTTCTTTTTTGGACTGAACTATGCAAAAAAGAATGAGGTATACTCATTACACTGTGTGTAAATGTAACTGCAGTAAACTCACACCAGATCAAGTTTAGAAGGCTACTTACTGTATCATACACTGATAACATGTCAAAACAACTTGATAAAAGCAAATTCTATAGCATAGATTAATAAGATGTTACTAAAAAACAAAATTAAAAAAAAAAACAAAATTCAACTGAATAAACCTGAAGATCCAGTAGGCTTTATTAAGCAATTTATGAATGAGGCAGCATCCCATCTAGCAAGTAGAAAGGAGCTCTGAGGAGCTGTACAAAATGGTAGTAGGTGGAGCAAGAAAAGTATTAGCAAAATAAAGGAAAGAATTGTCTCAAGCCAGGACATTTTTTGTGGGTGGCGTAGGAAAGCCAGGTTTTTTGTTTTGGGTTTTTTTTTTTTTATGCTTTACTTACTTACTAAAAAGTTGTACTTTTACAGGAAACTAGAAGAGAAAATGAAAAAGCCAAAGAAATTATATACAAAGAAATTACATATAAGGAAACTATAGGAGTAGCCTCTATACCCTACTGTTGGCCAGTTCAAAACACTGCAAGGGCTTCAGGTTATAATGTATCAGGTAAGACCTCCCTCTCCGACCTCTGGTAGCCTCCAGAAGTGTGGTAAGATATTCATTATCACGTGAAACCATGTGTCAGCTTTCAAAGCTGTGAACTCCTTTATGTCAGCTTTCACTATAAAATAATGACCTTTGGGGGCGCCTGGGTGGCTCAGTCAGTTGGGCATCTGCCTTCGGCTCAGATCATGATCCCAGGATCCTGGGATGGAGCCCTGCATTGGGCTCCCTGCTCAGCAGGAAGCCGGCTTCTCCCTCTCCTCTGCCTGCTGCTCCCCCTGCTTGTGCTCTTTCTCTCTCTCTCAGATAAATAAATAAATAAAATCTTTAGAAAATAAATAAATAAAATAATGACCTTTGGTATTCTGTTTCTTCATCAGTAGATCTGTGATAGAATTTTCTGGCCACGGAAGTCACAGACTTTTTTGGTTGATATAGGATCTTATATTTACTAACTACTGGGAAGGCAAGTTTTTTTTTCCTAAGATTTTATTTATTCATTTGAGAGAGAGTGCACATGCACACAAACAGAGGAAGGGGCAGAGGGAGAGGGAGAAGCAGACTCCCTACTCAGGAGGGAGCCCAACATGGGCTCTATCCCAGGACCTTGGTATCATGACCCGAGCCAACTGAGCCACCCAAGCACCCCGAGAAGGCAAGCTTTTTATCATGCAGTTTACCTCACTAGTGCTGATCAGGAAATTTCAGATTGACTGTTAAAAGGTCAAGTTCCTGGGAGTTTTAAACTGATTAAGTCTTGGTTTGCTATGCGGGATTGTGGGTAGAGAGGAATGATTCCATTTGGGGCTTTTTTCTTTTTCCCTTTTTAAAGATGTCAAAAAATAACACAATTCTATAGGAGGGAAGAGAGTGTCAATAGAATACTCTCTGGGTATATGGTTTGCTGCTGATGTGCCTTATTTCCAGGGTACATTTTAGAGTATTTATGAAAGTGCTTGGATTATGCTCAGAAAATGTTTTCATCCCTACTATCAGTCAATAAATGCTTCATACAATGCCTATGAGATGTGGCGAGCTTGAGAGCCCATTTAGTATGGAGGGATATACTTACAGTATTTCTACTGTCTGCCAAGCAGTATCTAGGTCACTACTGAGGAGTCAGATAAAAATCCCATCCCTATTCCCTGAAGAAGCTTCCGGGCCACCAGGGGAGATACACAGGCAGCTCCAGTTGGCGCCCTAATCCAGCAAAAGGGTATCAAGCATGGCCTCCTACAGATACTACTCGACCATTAGAGGAAGAGTGGATAAATGGGAAGAGAGGCAAATGGCATCCCAGAGGGGCCAGAAGACGCTTCAGCCCCCAGTCAAGCAATGCCCTTGGAGCACGTCAAGGCCTCGGCTGGATGAAAAGAGAAAGAAAACACACAGAAAGCGGAAGGAACAGAAAAAAAAAAAGTGCATTTCATCCTCCACTACGCGGCACGCGCACAACCATTGTTTGGAGGGCAGCTCTGTAGGCATTTTCCAACAAAATAAATTTAGCGAACGCTGCAACACCTTCCACTTAAGCCAGTCTTTCACCCCAAACCACCGCCTCCACCCCGCAGACATGCCTCTCTGCCCTCACTGCGCAGGTGCCAGGTATGACCTTCGAGACCTCCAAGAGAGAGGCTAGTAGTTCCGGGTTCACTAGGGCTCCCCTCTAGCCGCGAGCTTCCGTTTCTCCACTGCTCTCCGTTGCAGATTCCCGCGGGAGCTTGGAGCCCGGCCGGAGGCGGGCCTTCCGGGAGACTGGCGCGCGCGAGAGGAAAGTCGCGAGTAGGTAAGATTGTCCGGGAGCTTTGCGGGGGTTTGTGGTAAGATTCGGGCGATGGTTGGAGAGGTCCTGCGAGGGTTTCCAACCTTCTCCAGTCGCCAAAAATAAGATGAGTCCATTTCACTATTAACTAGCAGGGAGGTTTCACACCATCCTACAAACAAGTTGGCCTTTTCCTGCGTAAATTGGGGAATTTACCAAACGAAGGACGCTAGCGGAGTTTCCTCTCCGGCGCAGTTACTCTCTTCCTGATTAGGTCGCGTGCAAGCCTCAGTTTCTCAGCTCATCAGACGGCATTTCTGCACCGTAGCTTTCTGTGGGGGGACGCAGATTCTGCCACTTGAAAGAAAAATATATGCGGGTGCTGGCTGGCTCAGTGGGTAGAGCGTGCGACTCGATCTCGGGGTCTTGGAACCGCACCTTGGGTGTAGAGATTATAAAATAAACTTAAAAAAAATTATTTTTTATTTTTTTTACTTTTTTGCGAAATATCCTACCGATGCAAGCCTCGGTTGTCTTGACACCTGCTTCCATCACAGGCAAGTGTGATCCAGTCAGTTGCAGGGGATTGGAGGCGTTTTTGTTGAACTGAATAAAGCGGACATAACGTTCAGAGCCGGTCACGTCTCTACGACCCAGTGAAACAACTGGTGCTAGACTTTAAAAATAATAAGGCATCGTGTTTAGATTGTTTCTTTGTGAAATACGTGTGCAGAACGGGTTCTCTAAGGCCTGATGATTATTGGGGCACCCCACTGTGCCGTGAGTTTTGCCTGTCAGCCTCAATGCAGTGAGGTTGTGTAACTGTTCTGAGGTCGTGGATGAGAAAACCGAGCAAAGAATACCTGCTACTGCAAACATGACGCGGTCATCAAAGCGCCGAGGCAAGATTCCAGAGCTGGTGCTCTCCACCAACCCAGTGGTTTCTTGAGAAACGGGAGAAAGCTGTCCCCAGCGCGCGTGCACACACACACATACATACTTCGGCATACCAAGGGAATTCGCCACGCCAAGGGAAAGCCAGGTTAAGAACTCCTGCACATCGGTCTGCCCTTTTCAAAGAAAAAAGGCAAAACTAATCCAAAGCCCGTTATTGAAAACCTGACCTTTTAAATGCATCAAACCTATCAGAAAGATCAAAGAAACTTGCCCTTTTATGCCAAAGTAAAAATATAGGAATTTTCTTGTGTGGGCTTAACATGTCTTGCTCCAGCACATTTGAAAATATGTATGTGTGTGTATATAATTTTCTATTTATTTTTGCTTGGCATTTTCCACTCCAGTTAATTTTTCCTCATGGTACTGTTTTCTTTAGATCACATTTAAGGAAAAATGACGTTTTTAGGTGACTATTTTGTACAATAAAAATTTAATTGACATGTTAAGTTTTTTGCCTTTTACTTTAATGTCTTTAACATAATCATATTTCTTTTATTTTTTAAGATAAAATGGAAAGATTTTGTAAGGAGGGTCCTGAAAAATCCTAAGTAAGGCTTTGCAATTAAAAAAAAAATTAAGGTAGTAAAAAGTGACAATCTTCCAGTCTTAGGACCAGTATTTATGGACAACAGAACTGTTCAGCTGTTTTAGTCTATGTTAAAAAAAAAAAGTATACCAAGCTCCTATGCCATTCTTCACCAGAGGCTTATGTCTGGTCTGTGGAAGGAGACTACAAAGCAGTAATTGATAATTGTTATAATCATTTTCAGTTTTCTTCTTTTTTTTTTTTTAAGATTTTATTTACTCATCTGAAACACAGAGATACAGAGAGCACGAGCAGGGGTAGAGGCAGGCAGAGGGAGAAGCAGGCTGACCGCTGAGCCAGGAGCCAGATGTGGGGCTCGATCCCAGGACTCTGGGATCATGACCTGAGCCCAAGGCAGACACTTAACTGACTGAGCCACCCAGGTGCCCCTTCAGTTTTCTTCTGTTTAGCAAATGGATCTTTGTTTCTAGTAAGGGATTCAGTTTTGAAGAGGCTTATTCCCTTTCTTCATCATAAAAGTTTTGGGACTTGGATTTTGTGATATAGCCATGTCCCAATGGATTCTAATGAGACTTCATTACTTACCATTTATGTGTCCCAGTAACTTGCTACATTCCAAAGTGGGCCTGGAGATAACAGCATCCTGTGATGGCTTCAGTGACCACTCTCCTAAGGAGCCCCTTCCTCCTTGCTGCCTGTCAAGTTACCAAGCCGCTGGTCCCCTCCTGTGTTTCTCTGGCTGTCAGTTTTTATAAGTGAGGATGTCATTCCAGGGAGGTATAGGTTTAACTGAATGGAGTATGTATCTCCTTTGCATGATTAAATGAGGACAAGGAATAGGGGTGCCTGGCTGGCACGGTCGGTGGAACATGCAGCTCTTGATCTCAGGGTTGCGAGTTTAAGCCCCGTGTCAGGTGCAGAGATTACTTAAAACGGTAAAAAAACGGGCACCTGGGTGGCTTAGTCAGTTAAGTGTCTGACTTTGGCTCAGGGTCATGATCTCAGGGTCCTAGGATAGAGCCCCATGTCGGGCTCCCCACTCAGCAGGGAGTCTGCTTGTCCCTCTCCCTCTGCCCCTCGCCCCTGCTCATGCTCTCTTTCTCAAATAAATAAAATCTTTTAAAAATAAAAAATAAAGACAAGAAATAAATGTGTCCAGCTAGATCATATGAGCACCAAACTTAAAAACATGTTTAGGTTTTTTTCTTTCTTTTTTTTTTTTTTAAAGTTACCATTTACTGAGTGCCACAGCTTTAACTTATTTCTCATAGTAGTCCTGTAAGCTTTGTTTTCCAAAAAGGAAACTCAGATTCAGAAAATAAGTGACTTTAACCCAGCTAATAAATGGCAGAGCCAGGATGCAAACCTAGGCCTCGGGACTCCATGCTGCCTCTTCATTTAAAAATAAAGTGATGGAATTTGGAACATAGTTGTCTGAGAACATTTTAACAAAACAATAGTTCGCTGGCCACCAAATAACTGATTGTGGAAATAATGTGCACTTGCAACAGAAATCAATTCGGATTCCATTTTAGCAATTAAGCAAAACAAAGCAAAGTTGATCAAGAAACCATTTGTTTTTAGGTTGGGTTTTTTTTTTTATCTGATGTATGAAAAAAAGATAATTCAACTGAAGGAAGAGAAAAGGTAAAGCATGCAAAGAAACTAGAGCCTCTGAAGGCAACTCCTGGGCATTTGCAAGGCCTTTAGAGGTTTATAGCACTGATTTGTTACTATTTCCTATTTATACATTAAACTGTTAATGCCTTTTTTTTCTCATTGATGAAAATATAACCCTACCCCTAACAACCCAACCCAACCCATTCCTATCCACACAATGGAGCAAGAGTTGAGAAAGAAGCAAATCTGAGAACGGGAGTGCTGAAAGGAAAAGGAAGAAGAAGGTTTGCAGGTGATCCCCAGGTTGGAGGGGCAGGGAAGAGACCCTGGATCCGACAGTTCTCCCATTGCTGGCCTTCAGATGGCACTATTGGCCCGTTTGGTGGGTGTTGAGCTTGGTAAATGGTTTGAGATTGGCATTCTGCAATTGGTTTGAGGTCAGCCTCTGCTCTTTCAATGAATCTAGATTTGGATATGAAAAATTCCTTAATTTAAATACAGGTTTTGGGTTTGTTTCTTTTTTCTTGCAAGAGTTATTTTTTTTTTTAAAGATTTTATTTATTTGAGAGAGAGAGAGAATGAGAGAGAAAGCACACGAGAGGGGGGAGGGTCAGAGGGAGAAGCAGACTCCCCGCTGAGCAGGGAGCCCGATGCGGGACTCGATACAGGGACTCCAGGATCATGACCTGAGCCGAAGGCAGTCGCTTAACCAACTGAGCCACCCAGGCGCCCATTGCAAGAGTTATTTTGAAATTTACTTGGCCCCATTCTTGTTTAGGAGGATTTTTTTTTAAAGATTTACTTATTTAAGTAAACTCTGTGCCCAACGTGGGGCTTGAACTCATGACGCCGACCGAGATCGAGAGTCATGTGCTCTACTGACCGCACCAGCCAGGTGCCCTAGGACGGTTAGGTTTTTGGGGTTTGGTTTTTTTTTTCTCCCATTGTTTTTTCAAGATAAGTTTACACCTTTTTTCTGTTTAGATATCAACTCTTTTTCGTCTCCACTGAACTGTCCCCCAGGACAGTTTCTTAGCAAAGATTCTCATCCCACTACAAAATTTCACATAAACTAGCATATTCTGCCAGCATTAACCTCTACATCTGGTCTGGAATGGAATGAGACAGTTATTCCATCAGCAGTGTTCTTGATTTTTCTGTATCGCCTATATAATTTTTGATATATTTTAGCTGTAATTTCTGCATATTACAGATATCATCCTTAGATCTATTTCAACATTCTGTGCTTGTGCCTCTAAAGAAAAAGTTACTGTTTTCAGCTAATAAGAACTTAGTATGCATTAAAGCAGAATATATAAGATGAAAGATAAGACAGATAACTTTATAACCTATAAATCCTTCTATTCAGGAATAAAATGAATCTTAAGAGCTGTTGAGTTTATTTCTATAAGACTACTATCTCTGTTTTGTTTTTCCCAAACAGCGCTCAGTCTCTAGGCAGAATTCAGTCCAGCAACCTAGAGGCTAAATGACCTCATAACTCATTAGCAGTTCTCAGAGCCATCTGGAGCCCTTGAGGAGAACAGTGTTCAAAGGGCTGATAATAAAGACAACAGGATAATTATTTCTCTGCCATGATTAAACCTTCACATGGCAAGCAGTCAGCATTTTTGTTCTACAGATTGCTGAGGTGGGTGTTTTCTGAAGGTATAATAATGCTGTGGTTGGATAACTCATTTGTCTGTCCTCATCTAGCCTACAAATAGGTAAACTGACTATCAGTAAATAACAAAATGGTTCACTGTAAAAAGGGCAGTACAGCAAGATAGTAGTATGGGAACATCAAATGTAGAAATTAGAAATGTAAAGCATGCAAAGGAAACCACCATTTGGACTGTGGATATTTCTCTACTACAAGGCATGTCCTGCCAGCCACATGACTGATCCACATATGGCTTGCTGTTTTTATTTTCTAAAGTATTCTTTAGATAATCATGGAATTTCATACACTAACCTGTTTATCTTCTCATTTTCTGTAGGGATTCTTGCTCCTTGCTGCTCAAGAAATGTCTTCACTTTCAGACTATGCCTTGCGCATGACTCGTCTGAGTGCCCGGCTGTTCAGTGAAGTGGCCAGGCCTACTGATTCCAAATCCATGAAAGTGGTGAAACTGTTCAGTGAGCAGCCTCTGGCCAAGAGGAAGGAGACTTATGACTGGTATCCAAATCACAACACTTATTTTGCGCTCATGGGGACTCTACGTTTTCTTGGCCTCTATAGGTAATGGCAAAAAACACAAATAGTAACCTGTTAAGAGATTTTTCTAGTAGATCAGAAAAGTAAAAAGTTAGGCTTTTTATCCTTAACAGTTCTGTGGTTCTTATAATAGTGCCCAGATGGCTCAAAAGGCATAGTTTTAGGGGGAAAGGCTTTTAAAATACTCATAATGGGCACACTGAAAGAAACAAAAAAGGAAACCATGTATTGGAAGACATATTTTAACTGTGTCTAAAACTGGACTAACAGTGACGAGATACTGAGCTACAGATATGTTTAATTATTTATTAATTTAAGAGCACTCTAAAGGATGCAGAGGAAAACTGACCCAAATGCTGCAGAGGAAAACCTCTCCCCACCCCCAGCTCCCCCCACTCCCGCCAGCCCCTACAGGCTGCCAGACCAGCAGGTTCTCATTGATCAGATGAAGAGAGCCCCTGCCCCAAAGCCAATCTCCTTCCTAGCTAGTTTACAGGAGCCTCCTTTCTTTCCTAGCGGCAGTTTTGTTGGAGTTCTTATTTCCTTCGACCTTTTTCTGGCATTTTTAGTTTGTGCCCTTTTTGATATATAAATTTGGTCTAAATAAGTTGTAATTCACCTTTAAGAGTAATATGCAAGGGCACCTCGGTGGCTCAGTCAGTTGAGTACCCGGCTCTTGACCTCAGCTCAGGTCTTGATCTCAGGGTCGTGAATTCAAGCCCCGTATTGGGCTCCACGCTGGGTGTGGAGCCTACTTAAAAGAAAAAAGAGTAATATGTAGATCACACAGGCTCTTACCCCCATGTGTTGCATGTTTGTGTATGTATAGGAAATGGGTGCTCAGGACTTTGTATTGCTCTAGAAAGAGAAAAGATCAAATACCTGTGTGATCATTTTCTTTAAAAGAAAGTCTTAATTACCAAACTGATACATGCTCATTATAAAAGAATTCAAACAGTGCGTAATTGTGTAAAGTTAAAGTAAATCTACTTTTTGGGTGCGCAGCTGCCTCAGTGACTCTTGATCTCAGGGTTGTCAGTTTGAGCCCTATGTTGGGTGTAGAGGTTACTTAAAAATAAAATCCTTTAAAAATAAATAAATCTACTTTTTAAGAAAATTTAACGTGTTTAATTGGACTTGTCTTAGGACAGTAATACAGAAGTTAATTTGGGACTATTCACTCTAATATAATAAAATTAATAGTTCATTCCAGGTAGCTAAAAGCTGGTACATTCATCCATCCAATAGGTGTATTTTTTTTTTTTAAAGATTTTATTTATTTATTTCACAGAGACAGACACAGCGAGAGAGGGAACACAAGCAGGGGGAGTGGGAGAGGGAGAAGCAGGCCTCCCGCTGAGCAGGGAGCCCGATGCGGGGCTCGATCCCAGGACTCTGGGATCGTGACCTGAGCCGAAGGCAGACGCTTAACGACTGAGCCACCGAGGTGCCCCCAATAGGTGTATTTTTAAGTACCTTCCATGTACAGACACTTAAGATGGGCACCAGCGGAACAGCAGTGAGCAAAACAGAATAGATTTTCTTAGTTAATATATTATAATAGAGATTATAATCCATGGCATATTTTGAATTTCTGGAATTGCTCTGGGGCTTTCTCCCTTGCTATTAGTCTGAGCTCAGAAAATAAAAATTAATGTTATTATGACCCAAAATAAAATATCATTGGAAGGCAAATCTCCTGAGTAGAAAACTATAACCCATAACAAAATCATATTCAGCTATTTTAATTTACCTGTTTGGTGCCACTCTCCATTTGTTTGAAAAATAAAACCTTGACTATCTTTGGGGACGGGGGAAAAATACTTAGCATTTAGTTATCCATGGAAAAGCACAATGATTTTCATGGATTTAGTCACTAGTTATGGTAAATGGTGCCTCTGATGGAAAGCCTCCTGTGGCGTCAGGCAGGATGAAACTAGACAATCTTCAGTAAAGAAAATACTACTCAAAGACCTGCAAACGCGGGAGGAAGGCACAGGTTCTCCCAAACACCGACTCATTCGTCACTCAGGCACACAGGTGCTTGGGCGATATCATCAGAGACAAAAACCCCTGGCTTTGGAGCTTTCCTTCTGGCTGAGGGCTGATGAGAATGGAGGAGGGAAGAAGAAGAGAACAAACATGCAAGATGAGTAAATGATGTGGTATGCTATAAAGTTGAGTGTGCTGTGGGGAAAAAACAGTAAAGCCGCCTGAGCAGGATGAAGAATACTCACAGGGCACGTGGTGGGCGGGGAGAGGACGGGTCACAGTATTAAACAGAACAGTCAAGGTCAGCCTCTTTGAGAAGATGAGGTCTTAGCAGAGACTTGAAGGTGGTGAGTGGGACAAGTGGGATCTGGGGAAGAACTGCTGAGGCAGAGGCAAGAGCAGTGCAAAGGCCCTGAGGTGGGAGTTCTCTTGGTGTGTTCCAGGAGTAGCACAGGCGACGGAGAGAGTGGTAGGGCCCCAGGCAGAGGGCCCCAGGCAGATCATGAAGGGCTCTGAGGGCCAGGACAAGGTCTTGGCTTTTGCTCTGGGTAAAGTGGGGAACCGCCTGTAGGCCTGTGAACAGCGGAGCGACATGATCTCGCTTATAATTTAGAATTACTCTGGCTGCTCTGTTGAGAATAGATGATCTGGGGACAATCATAGGTACTTCTTAAGAGGTCAGCTGTATCCACTGTGTTCATGGAATGGAACAGTGTACCCTACAAAACCAGTCTATTTTAAAACTATCTAAGGAGTTAACAGTTGGGCCCAGCACAACCCCCTCTTATGTTTAATTTGTATGCCATTATTATCAGCACTTGACAGGTAAGGAAACTAAGATACAGAGAGGGAAAATCACTTATCCAAGGTCACATGGCTACTAAGTGGTAGATGAGCTGTGATTTGAACCCAGGTTGAAATGGGTTCCAAACCTTACATATTTAAATGCGATACTGTTTTAGGTATTTAATCTTAGAATGCAGTCATTTCTCTAGAGTATAGGCAGTCTTCAGCTTACACCCCATCCATATGTACAAACAGCCCTGGCTGCCTTGATCTCTAGAGTACCTGTCTGTTGATTTGGCTTCCTTCTACCTGAGCCTTTCCCCAGCAGCCTTTTTGTGTGGATTATCCACGGCCATTAAGGCAGCTTCCTTCAGACCTCTTCCCCTCATAGTAGGTGCTAATTCCTGGGACTCTCAGGGTCTCTGTGTAGCTCTTCAAGCTTAGACCCATTTTCTGTTTCCCTATGTTCAGTGTTAGCATTGTAGGGAAACTTGGGGTAATTATCAGCATTGTATCATTGTTGCTTCGGTTTATATGGGCCGGCCTGGGAATTTTAGTCGCTTGTGGCATTGTTTCTGTGAAGGGACACTGACTTAGAAATGAACTTTGGGAACACAGCCCATGTGTATGTTGGGGACTCTCTGTCCTTTCTGTTCACCAAGCTGAGCATGTGCCCTGAGAAGTCGGACTGATAACCAGAGCAGCCTGAGGGAACAGTGGTAGAATGAATGGTGTGCTGTTCCCATCAGGTAAAAATACAGGCTAATTGTTTTTTCTTTCTCCACTCAGAGATGAGCACCAGGACTTCAGGGATGAGCAGTTGCGTCTAAAAAAGCTTCGTGGCAAGGGGAAACCAAAGAAAGGAGAAGGGAAAAGAGCAGCAAAAAAGAAATAGTGTTGGTCCATCAGGAGAAGAAAGTTCTTTCTCAGCAACTGACAGCCGTGTTTATCTTTCCACATATTCAAGGAATGTAAGCTTCCGAAATTAAAGATTATTTGGAGGAACACAATCATTTCTGTGTTGAACTCCAATCCAGTTGAATTGTGACTGGTTTCCTGGACACAGTCTAATTCTGCAAAGTTATTTTGGCCTTGGTTTTATACTCTGAGGTTTACCTATTTCTCTAAAGAAATGAATGCATAGGTGATTGAAGAATGACTCATTTGGGGTGGGAATGGGATGTTGGGGACATGGGGGGGAACTCAAATGAGCATCCTTTAGTCTCCCCAGGATCCCTTCTTGCTTCCCCACTACACCAGCCCTGAACTCTTCCAACCCTCCGGTGTTCAACCACTGTCTCCACCACCAAGCTCACAAACTTCATGTACCTCTCCACATACTCCTTGGAGAGTATCTACTAAGATAGATTTGTGGGAAAAGTATCTACCTGCTAAGAGAGTACTGAGTGAGTCCCTGCTGGGCCCTAGTAATACCATGGTTAGCAAGAAAAAACAGTCCCTACCTCATGGAACTTCCAGGCTTATGGGAAAGACTAATATTACATAAATAAAATTGTATTAAATGCTACAAAGGAAAAATCCAGAATTCTGCAAGAGTGTGGATCAATCAATGGCTCGGTCCAGAGATAGCAAGAGACCCAAACCTCAAGGTGTTTAAAGAAGGCCTCCCTAAAGAGGTGGCATTTAAGCTGAGCTCTGCAGGATGAGTAAGAGAAGAGGGGGCACCTGGCTGGCCCAGTCAGTAAAGCATGTGACTCTTGGTCTCGGGGTCATGAGTTCGAGCCCTACACATGGCATAGAGTTTGCTTAAAATTAAGGTGTGCCTGGTTGGCTCAGTCAGTGGGGCACGTGACTCTTGATCTTGGGGTTGTGAGTTCAAGCCTCATGTTGAGCGAAGAGCTTACTTAAAAAAATAACAACAAAATCATTGGGGCGCCTGTTTGGCTCAGCTGGAGGAGCATGTGACTCTTGATCTCAGGGTTGTGAGTTCAAGCCCCACACTGGGTATAGAAATTACTTAAAAATAAGAAAAATCTTTATTAAAAGTTTTTTTTAAAAGATAAAAATGATGGGGAAAGTGTGAAGCACAAGAAAGCATGCTGTTCGAGGGATGGAAAAAAGAGCGCTGACTGTATGGGTTTCACCCAGAAACAGAAGCCAGACCGTGAAAATCTTTCCAAGTTCTTTTTTTTTAAGATTTTATTTATTTGAGAGAGAGAGCGTGCATGTGCAAGTAGGGAGAGGAGCAGAGACATGGGGACAAGCAGACTCCATGCTGAGCACAGAGTCCGATGCAGGGCTCGAGGTGGGGCTTAATCCCACAACCCTGAGATCATGACCTGAGCTGATGTCAAGAGTCAGACGCTTACCTGACTGAGCCACCCAGGTGCCCCAGGGCTTTGCAATTTCTGTGAAAAAGCTTGGACTTAGCCAGTGTGTGAAGTGTTATTTCTTTGAGAGAGGACTCTTGTATACACACGAATAGCTGGCTGCTCATTTAAGTGTATTCTAACAGTGAGTTTCCAATGAGGTTGTGAGGGCTTCTCTGATTTTTTTTTTTTTCAAGTTCCAAAAATCTAGCACTGTCTAGTAAATTTTTTTAAAGTACTTTTTCTTTTCTTTTAAAAAATTTACCATCTTAAACATCTTTAAGCATATAGTACGGTAGTGTTAACTGAACGCACATTGTTCTGCTAAAGTACTTTTTAACCCCGTTTTTGCCTCTCAGGAAAAGAGCAAAGTGCACAGGCAAGAGGACATATAGCAGCTCCTGAAGCTATGATTTTCTTTCCCTGCAACATTAGAAGTACTGGCAATAATTGCCCTGCAAATAATTCCTGAATTAATAAGAATCCCATTACATATGTTATGATAAATTGTATTTTTGAAGATACATGATCTAGATGGTAGGGCTAGGGCCCATATTATAGTCTTAAAAACTACTTAAAAATGGGCAATTTGTGTCTGACAGATGTAACTTCAGCGGGGGACCGAGAATCCATTCATTTAGAACTTTTTCCTGAGCACTTGGCCTGTGCCAGCCACATGCAAGTTGTAGAGAACACAAACAGGCTGAGTCCCCAAGATTGTGTGAAGGACAGTTGTGTGTTGTAAGGCATTGGCAAGATCCCAGGGATTTGCTCAGAAAAGTGCACACTTTCTGTTACTCTTGGCCAGTGCAGCTGCACCAGGTGGGTGGAAGATGAACCCAGGACGTCGGGCTGAGAAATAGGCTCTCAGCCTGAACACAGTGTAGAACAACCCAGTGGGTGTTCTGAATTACGCCATCTCCAACTTGTGGAGAAGGCCTGAATGTGAGAGGAGCTTCAAAGAATTAGCATGATAGTTTAAAGAGAAACTCCATCAGGTACCAATAGCTGACCTGAGTCAGAAAACAAAGAATCCGTGTGTTGGTTTGCGGACGGCCGCTGAACCTGCAAGGAGCCTTAGCGCTGGTTGATAGGGAAGTTTGTGGACAAATCAGCAGTAGACTAGCATGCCACTGCTGAAAATCAGAGACTCCGACTAAAATTTATTTGTATATAAGCTGTACCCTGAAACCCATCTGACACAGCAAATGCTACCTAACTTAAAATAGCCTGTACTGAACATGGTGGACCAGATGGAACATGGAGGATAAGAGAAGGGGGGGTAATTCTTGATGCCATAAAAGCAGCTCGTGTCAGGACACCAGCAACTGACATTTAAGACAAGGACTCGGTGCAATCAGGAAAAAAAAAATCTTTAACTGCAGGTGTAGGCTAGCCAGATGTTTAACTGGATTTTTTTCTGGTCAAGACCAAAACTATTTGTGTTTTCCCTCAAGTGTTTGGTGTGCATGGAAGATTTTGCCCTTGATTTCGATGTGGCACAGTAAAACAGACTGGATTTGGGATTTCAAAGTCACGGATTGGGATGCAGTTCTACTTACTGGCTTTGTGACCTTCAGTCACTTATCTTCACTGAGCCTCCTTCCATCTCTGTAAAATCATAGTAACCCTTCACTAGAGTCATGAAATATTAAGATTTGTGAAAAGTACCATGTGAATTGTAAAAGATTAATCAAATGTTTTCACATACAGTTATTTGTGTGACGAATAAGAATTACTACATCTTACAAATAGATTCTTCCGAGGTAGTGTTGACAAATACATGCTAAAAATATATAATTCTCTACTTTTACATGCAACACGGCAGGTTCAGGAAGCAGTAGGTGGGAGATGCATTTTATTATTTACGTAATCCTGAGTTCGAGAAACTCACCTTTTAAAAGCAATCATGTCTGTGTGTACGTATATCTAAATATGTATGAGCATATAAACATAATGCTTTTATTGTAAAGCACTTTCTGGAAAAGAGTAAGTCAAATTAAAAATTCCACCCTCTTCACCCTTTCCTTTTTTCCTCACACATTTCCCCCAAAGCTTCTAAGTGCCTAATTTTAGAGATTTAGAGGCAGGAACAAACTTCAAAGGAAACAGATAGAGGGAAATGTCTTTTAAACTGCCAATGTCTTCACAGTCCTTTTTCTTAAGTACTCATTTATAAGTTCAAAAGAAAGCATTTCTTAAAAAAAAAAGAATAAAACAGTAAAACATTCAAGAAGACTTAGTATAACAGGGAAACAAACAGTAAAGCCCGGGGTATTAAGAACTAGAAAACCAGTAAAACATTTATGCTGAACTTAAAACTGAAATGTTTTTTAAAAGACAGGAAGGCAGGAAAAGAGGAGGACCATGAAACTAGGGGAAGGACTGGCCACAGAAACTACCCAGATGCAGTTTTCTCACTTAATTGGAGGTCTGGCAATATAAGTTCATGTGAAAGTAGAAACCAGAACCAAACCAATGTAGATCCTAAGACCTTTTTCATTCTACTTAAACGTGCTTTCTGAGACAGGATAGATTCATTGATGGAGAGCTTTCTGTGTCTATTACAGAAAATAGGAGCTCCTTATTGACCATCTAAATTGGTGCTTAGTCCAAAATATCTTCCCAAAAGAGCCACACTAACTGACCTATTGAGTTTAGCATAAAAACAGCATTCTCAACAAATTAAAAGTCTTAGGACACAGCTCAAATCTAAAAGTCTGAGTGTATCTAGTATGAGAACAGACCAGTGTATTAAGCACCACACAAATATAAATTCTTTTTTTTTTTAGATTGATTGATTTATTTATTTTGACAGAGAGAGAGATAGCTAGAGCAGGAACACAAGCAGGGGGAGCGGGAGAGGGAGAAGCAGGCTTCCCGCCGAGCAGGGAGCCCGATGTGGGACTCGATCCCAGCACCCTGGGATCATGACCTGAGCTGAAGGCAGACACCTAACGACTGAGCCACCCAGGTGCCCCAAATATAAATTCTTTTTTTTTTTTTAAGATTTATTTATTTATTTATTTGAGAGACAGAATGAGATAGAGCATGAGAGGGGGAAGGGTCAGAGGGAGAAGCAGACTCCCTGCCGAGCAGGGAGCCCGATGCGGGACTCGATCTCGGGACTCCAGGATCATGACCTGAGCCGAAGGCAGTCGCTTAACCAACTGAGCCACCCAGGCACCCCAAATATAAATTCTTAATAAAGAGAAGAGTGCAGTGGAATCAGGAATGACTTTACAGGGCGCCTGGGTGGCTGGGTCATTGAGGGTCTGCCTTCGGCTCAGGTCGTGATCCCAGGGTCCTGGGATCGAGCCCCGCATCGGGCTCCCTGCTCGGCGGGAAGCCTGCTTCTCCCTCTCCCACTCCCCCTGCTTGTGATCCCTCTCTCGCTGTGTCTCTCCCTGTCAAATAAATAAAAGCTTTAAAAAAAAGGAATGACCTCGAGCAGTGAAAGCAAGGAATGCAATTAAAGTCCGCATTTTGGGAGCACCGATCACAGACACAGCACAGAGCTTTATAGGCCTTATGTTACTTCTATATGATAAGTATCCCCATTTTACAGGTGAGGAGACTGAGGCTTAGGTCTTGTGCCCAGGATCACACAAGTCTAAGTGTCCAGACTGAGGTTTAAATCCAAGCCACCTGACTTCAAAGCCTGTACCACCAATCACCACACTTAGAGGTGGGATCCTCAAGCAGAGAGAGG